CCAGTAGACAATGCACGACAACCTACCTGAGACCTTCTTGGAGTAAATGCAAAGATTACTTGCCACTGTGCTCTGGCCCACTTGTCTTTGACAGGCTTACATGTCTGCTGTTAAGCCTTCATTGTGGCCTAAATGCATGACACCATTGCTGGACAAACTTATATTGGGCTAGTAGGTTGAACAGCTGCGATGACTGAGCTTCCAATTTTAGCAACATGTCATATATACTGTATATCAGTAGTTTTCGCCTGTAAATGAGTTTATCATCCCACTCTCAAAACTACAAAATGAGTGTGTGGGAAAAACAGAGAGAGCAAGGGATGGATGAACTGTAAGCATAAACTGCCCCCCTCCCAGATTGTGTTTAGATGTTGCGGTTTCACAGGGAGTGTACACAAACACACACGCACACACTCACATGGCCACCCAGACTCTCAGTTATTATCTGCGTCTGGCACGTTATCCCACTGCCCCATTATAGTTGCCACTTGTTTGTTTCCCATGTGACTTGGCATTCGAGATAGGCAGGTATTAACATCACTGTACTGTTTAGCCACACACACTGTGCACACACACACACACACACACACACACACACACACACACACACATACATGCACGCACACACACATACTGTACACAGACTCTCCAGGTGGGATCACTCCAGTTTCCTCCCCAGGGAAGTGTCGATGTTGATGTAACGATAGCTGATAGTAAGGGTGGAGATCTTTGAACAGTGTTTTGTAACACAGCACTTTGCAGCCGCTGGCCCTCATCTTGCAACTTCTCCCATGGCAACGACCCTAGCATTATCCTGCTTCCATGACAACCCGTAGTGAATCCGACTTGACCTTCACCAGTGATTCAGTTTCTCTCCATCCACCTCCATTCTCTCCCTCCCTCCATCTCTGTCTCTCTTGTTCTCTCTGTTCAACATTGCAAACTTCCACTTTTTTTTTCTTTCTGCACCGTAGCCCACATTCTGTTATTCTGTATTTTTTTTTCCTTTTCTCTACCTGTGTGGGTGTATCATTGCTTCTGTTACACAAGCAGTCAATACATCTACACAGGCTGATGTCACACTTCAGGGGACAGTCTGTTCATATGCACCCAAAGTCCTGCGTCCATGCTTCCTTCTCTGACTCAGTGATTTAAGCTAGCAGGCATGCGGCTGCTTGTTGCTGTGCTGCAGGTGCAGATCAACCTGAGCTCACCTCCCCACAAAGGAGCCATTGTTTCCTCTCAGTCAGGGACACAAGCAGAGTTGAAGTCAGCTTGGAAATATTGATACAGGAATGACAAGTCTGTGAGAGTTTATTTGCTAGTGTGTGTGTGTGTGTGTGTGTGTGTGTGTCTGTGTGTTCATATGGACATTCTGTGCACGTTCATAGGTTTGTTACAGTGGCAATCGACCTGTCTGTCATGTCGATCTTAGCTGGTATGCGGATATCCTTATCAGGCTGGCAGCTTACACTTGGTCTCGCAGGTTGTGTCACGCCTGCCGGATAATTTCTGCACAAAACAATAATGTTGCACAACACATTCAGATTTTCCACATTATGCCTCTTTATTGATTCTTGATTGAATTCTCGGCTGTTAACTGCCCCTGAAGGTTTCAGTCCAATTTTCTGTGTTGTTGTGTGATATGATATCGAAGTTGCCATGGTAACTGTTTGCATATCCAAAGTGTGGATTTTTTTTGTTCCTTCTATGCTGTAGCATCATGCAGTTATGAAACTGCAGATGACAAGATGAGATCTCTCACAGATTCATTCATTCTTTACCTTTCTGGCTTCTTGCAAACACCCTGTCCTACTGCCAGTTAACTTGACGCGCGTGCGTGTGTATGTGTGTGTGCATGTGTGTCTGCGGCACGGCAATGGCTGCTCATTTGTTAATTGATCCAGCTAGTTGAAGCCGCCAGCAGAATGCCAGGGTTTCTAAGCCTGAAGGGCTGTGATCAGGGATGAGTATCTGTAAGCTGCTTAGCGAGCCTGCTGGGAACTGACGGGATGCTTTGGCCTGCTTCTGTGCTCCTGTGAGGCACAAGATCAGCGGGTTGCACCATGGGCAAGAGGCCTGGCTATCTTGGGTATACAGAAGTTGTAGGGCCAGTGGTTGCCCTGAATTTAGCATGTAATAAGAAAAACATCTTCTGAACTCTTACTGTTTGCTTTGCTGCACACACGTACACTTTTCTAGTGATGAGCAGGTCAACAAGATGGTTGAAATAGAATTTGACTAATTAGTAGGTCATTACTTATATCAGAGTTGAACCACTGTTCAAAAAGGTCCATGATTGTGCAGAATGTTGAGCTCATGTGGCTCTTCAGGAATCCATCTAATGCTGTTGTAACTGACGTCACTGTAACTCTTTAATTTATGTCTCCCTATGTAGCATTTGTAAGCAGCGTGTAAACACTTAACAAAACATACAATCATGTAGTTTAAGCAGATGAGGCTGTGTTTGAAATCATATACTAACATACTATTAATACTAACTGTGAGGTAATAGTATGAGATGTGAGCTGACTGCACATACTCAGCTGCCTCACAGTGCATTGTGTCTCTTCAGACTGCGCATTTGTGCAATGGCTGGCAATGGTGGAGATTTTGAGACAGGCTAAAAGCTGTTATATGTCACTTTATTAAGTTTGAATGGCTTTTTGAGGTGAGGAGTTACCTATTAATGGCCAATTTATCAAAAAAGAAAAACAACTGTTTGAGAATTTCTTGTGATGCTTTCGATGTGAGAGCTGCTGGCCGGGTAAGTCTGGCCGTCAGTCATGTGTTACTTGAGGATACCTAAGTGTAAACAGTCTACAGGTAGCAGGTACTATATCGTTCACTAATAGGCAGTATGCAGTACTAGGGGTGTAAATCACCATACTGTCATTTTTTTCTAAAACTTCAACTTTCTGGCTTAAAATCCTGAACAGCCATTAAACATATTTTTTGCTAGTGACCCATTATAAGCTTTAGCATGTTTACAATGTATAAATTAGCTTAGCGGCTAGCAGACTTTTTCCTCTACTTCTAGCTTAACAAATCCCCTGTGGCGTTATTATTTTTCTTACTGACAGAACAGCTCTGTCAAATATCAACCTGCATGCACGTTATGTCAGCCCAACATTGTTGATACAGAGCAGCTAATGTTGCTGTAGCGAGAAGTTAGTGGAGTGAGATGGCCATCCAGGCAGGTCACATTACATCGTGTTTATCTTGTAACGGCATTGTTTACATACGGCATGTGTTCTGTCTTTTGACACCTTTTGTCTTCAAGATCCAAATTCTTTCCACACTGCTGATGTATTCCTAAGTAAATAAACACTATCATCATTGTCTTTCTCTTGACTGCTTACCGTCTGCCTGCTGCTGTTTGATGGTGACACAGACTTTCAAAATAAAAGCCTATGCTAAAGATTAGAGATGCACCGATCCAGCTTTTTCAGTTTTGATATCGATCCCGATGCTGTGGCTTTGAGCATCAGCCGATATCCGATAGCAATCCGATACCATGGTTGACCTAAAAAGCTACATGTAGAACAGAAAAGACTAGAGGCCTCAGGCATTAATGACTACACAGTTCTTTCCTAAGATAAAATGAAACAAGATGAAACAGATTAATGCAATGATGAACTATTTATTTTTAACAAAAATAAAGAATTGTGAAACAGCAGTTGAAATAGTGTGAAATACCTCCACACAGCAGATCCTCTCCTTTGCTCCCTGACGTATGACGTAGCTCCCGTCGCAATAGATTTAAAGGGAAAGGATCGCCTGAGGTATACGTTGCATTTTCCGATACCCGATCCATCTATTTTGATGTTATCGTGGCTGATATTCGATCCAGATATCGGATCGATGCATCCCTACTAAAGATGACGATACGGATCAATGTTTTCACTTTGCATACATGATACTGGATCGCTGATCATTGAATCAGTATATCGATCCAGATTGATGGATCATTACACCCCTATGCAGAACATACATATTGTATGTTGAGTATGTAGTCAGCAGCACAGTAGTATGTGAATCCAAACACAACAATAATGACAATACTGTCCATTGATAAGAAAAGATGTGCCTGTGTTGGCTCACAAGTATCTTACAGTGTGTTGTAACCATTTATTAAATGTTTATATACAGCTTATAAATGCTACAGTAAACAGGGGGACCTAAAGTGTTACTCACTTAACTACAAGAAAATAAAACTAAACGTTTTGCAGAATATTAATTACATGTTGTATTTCTTTGTCCCTCATACAGTCTAACGCTCCAACCTGCTTCACTGTCTGTCTGTAGCTATTCGCATTGTACGTGCTATCTGTTGAGACGAAGACCACTCCAAAGCCCTTTAGTGAAGACCAAAGTTTGCACTGAAACCACGTCAGCACAAGTTCTGATTTCACCTACGAAGCATTTTGAGATCGGTCGAGATGCTTACAGGTCTGCCTTTAAAAGAGGAAACAGCAGGGGAGTGTGAGATTGAAAAAATCTGATGTGCTCCAAATGTTGCACTTGAGTGTGCAGCTCCTACTCAGCCACAAATGTCCAATATTTATTTTTAATTTCTGCAGTAAGACAGAGTTGAATAATATTTTACTGCAGTTTGGCTATTTTATTTTTTTAATAAATGCTATTTTGATTTTCATACTGACCTGTCATAATATTTTTGCTAATTTTGATTTTTTTCTCACTAAAATCAATATGCAATCATCCAAATTAAATGGAAGTATGTTTCCTGAATAATTGATATAAACCATTATTAATACTAGCTGATATCACATGTTTTCACTAGGTAAATATGTAATACGTCAGACGGAGGTGAAGCTAAGGGGCTTTGGACTTTTTGGTCATGGAAATGTACGTGTGTCTCATTTTCCTGTACATGCAGATCTCACACTGTCTTTCCACCAGGTCTCTATATGTATATGTGTCTCTCGCTCAATGTAGCTCTTTGTGTTCCTTTTCTTGACAATGCACTGCATATTCAGAAGAGGCAGCCTGTAGGTATATGAAAATAAAACACTCTCACTAGCTGCATGACCCTTCTTATCTCTTCCCTTTTGGTTATTTCCTTTTCTTTCTTTTTTTTAAACTCCTTTCTGTGTGGAGACTTTAACCTTTCTTTGAGGTGTTGTTTTGTCGTCCTAGAAATTGCCTGATGTTAAAATTAATCAAAGAAAGAAAGGCAAAATGTTTGATCTCCACGAGACATCAGCACTCACACGCTTGAAGAACCAGACTTTGATTTTAAGCATTTTGTTTCCCCCATTTTTCATATTCGACATCACAACACTGTTTCATATTCTCTGTTTTCTGTTACCTTGTACCAAAAAAAACAAACTTCCATCACGTTCTTCGTTGTTCCAAGTCACGTTGTCCTGTACGTTTGTGTATCTTGTACTACTGCATGAGCTTTGCACGCCGGGGTCTCTCTCTTGCTTTTCCTGTTTCTTCCCTTTTCCTCTCTAGATTCCTACACCTCTCTCCTTTCTGTTTCTCTGCTCTAGGAATGCTTGTGCTGTTCAGTGTTGTTCATGAGTTCCCTGTCTCCCTCTTTCTCTCTGTGCAGGGGATGTGCTGTTCCAGATGGCCGAGGTCCACAGACAGATCCAAGTGCAGCTAGAGGAGATGGTTGGTATTCTAAGCTCAAAGGGTTTTTTAGCAGCACTCTCTATAAAACTCTGGCAATGTGAAAGGTCTCATAATGTAATAATTTAACAATAGTTCAGACACGATTCGTCCCTGAGCTCTCAAGTCCCTGTGGGCAGCACATGGAATACATGATAATTAAATGAACATGAACTCGTGTTGAATGAACAAAAATGCTGAACTCGTATAAATCCAAGGTGAGAATACAGGAGGTGGCCGGGGAGTGAAGTGAGGTAATTGAACTGTGTGGCATTGAGAGTATAATAAGCTTGTATGATGATGACGTCATGATTTATCCACAACTTGTCAACCTCAAGTTCATTACTGTGTCCAGTGTGGAGGAAACCTTGAGCATAGGTGCTCATCATGTGGATGCCCTGGGGCTTTTAATGTCTATCTGCCCCTTTGCCCTCACTGTCCATCAGTCTGTAATCCATCTTCTTCTCCATACTGATCCTCCAGTATTAACTCCTTTGCATGAGTCCAAACTGAGAACTCTGCAAAAATGCTTGCAGCCACTTTGAGCTGAAATAGCAAAATCAAAAGATTATTTTCCCCAAATGTGAAGCTTCTGGGGAAATTTTAGTTCATGCAGAAGCACAGAAGTAATCTGTAATCAGCTGACACTTAGCTGATTGGATCATTGTTTCTTATCAGTTACACAGCGATTACAGGCGGTCAGTTTAAATATGGCTTCCTACTCACTGATCCCTGCTACACCAATGCTGCCACACACCACTGCCGCGGCTGCTGGCAAAGGTTTACCCCCACCACCCCAGCCTCCGCCTTTCTAATTCAGAGTCCAAACATGGCTGTAATGTTTAATGGTATTATATTTCTTGCTTGGGCCCACTCTTGTATACCTGTGGGGGTTTTCTGCATTGTGCTCCCCGTTTTGGCATAGCATGCAGGGAGCACCTCATGAGCGGTGCCCTCAGTGCCAAACATAACTGTATTTCCATTTGTTGAAATAAATGGTTAAATCTATGACAATAGAGTTCCTGACTGAACCTATTTAAAATGCTGGGATTCCAGGGATTCAAGAGGAATTGAAGCCAATACTTATGCTCTTCAAAGCCACCAGACTCCAGAACGGTCTGGTGGCAGTAATTTTATCTTTCATAACATGGAACATGCTCATCTGCCGCTTCCTCTATTGATTTGTGGTATTGTGTGACGTTGGTGTTTTAGAGGGTTAGTTCAGATTCACCAGAGTCACACAGTAACACAAACAAACTGACTGACTGAGACAGCGGTAGACTAGCAGCTCCGTGGTCAGCTAGCTAAAAGTACTGTTTTTGTTGAAGGAGTTTGGTGGCTTAGATGGATAAAACCATCAGAAACGGATGATTGACAGCAAAGTGAAGCAGCAAAAATATTCAAAGTATAGCATACACTTAAACTTATATGCATTTTTTAGGTGGCTAAAATTTGTTTTGCTGCCACCCTTGTCCACAGCAGTACATTGCATAGCTTCTGTGGTGGTAATCTGCCTGCTTCTCCAAACTCGAGGCATGCTGACCACCATCTACTGTAGGTAATACACTGACTCTTGATAAGTAGCTCCTACAACCCCACTTCAAAAAATCTGCACTATCCCTTTAAGCTATGCTCACACAGTATACTGCTGATTTTTCATTTTTTTATGGAAAATGTGAAAAAGAAATGAATGTCAGAAGAGCAGAGATAAAACATTTTATTCTGACTTGGTAGCCGGTTCTCCAGGCAGGTCAGTTTACAATCTAGTGACTAAATATTGTGTCCGATAGCACTGAGTCAGTGAGAGTGACGGTGATTTGCATGAGCGAGTCTTCACAGGCCGGGACTTTGTTGATAAAACATTTATTCAGTGACTGAGTAAATGAAGATAACATGTATTTTAATAGCTTATTCATGTATTGTATATAACTTTATGTGGACAACTTGGTCTTGTCTTCGACCTTCACATGCAGCCTCCATGAATGATTCAATCGCTGACTTTTATTGAACTGTTTTTGTGCTTTCTCCGCAGTTGAAATCCTTCCACAACGAGCTGCTCTCGGAGCTGGAGAAGAAGGTGGATCTGGATGCTCGTTATCTGACTGTGAGTATCTGATTGGCTGGCTCTCCCACAGCCCGAGGACAGCCTCGATCCAATAAATGCACTCCATATTTTAGCTCATTTTTAGTGCTCCATATTGCATTACATCAATTCTGTCAAAGCCTAATTTGACCGAAGTGATAACAGAGACGGGGGTGAAGTTGTGTTTGAACATCCGGATCAAAGGCTGTCTCTGAAACAATTAGAGGATATGTGTGTGTTTAAAAAGATGATTTTAAATAACATTTCAGGCCCACTCACCTGTCAAGGGTAGACTGATTAGAATAACCCCCCCTATAGTGTGTGTGTGTGTGTGTCTGTGTGTGTGTGTGTGTGTGAGTGAGTGAGAGAGTGTGTGCAAGCACTGTGGAGCTGGTCTACATGTGATATCTTTAGAATGAGTGGGTTGCAGCCTGAGTGTAGAGCAGCAGTGCTGCGCGTTGTTTTGGGGGATGGGATAATGTTGCCATTATTGTATTGTATTGTTGGAAGGACCACGTTACGAGCTGCTTGGGCTCACAGCCACCAACTCACTCACACACACTTAATATAATATTGCTCCTAAAATGAAATGGAAAGAGTGCTTGTTTGTTGGCTTCTATCCTCTTGACTGAACAGGGATGTCATGTTGAGTTGAAGTGCAAACCACAAGTGTTGTGATTCTATCTCCAAGTAATCTGTGAATCCACACACATCTGTCAGATTTATGTTAGCTGTCTAAACTGATAAGGGAAAAGATATTAAAATGTCTCATGCTTCTTATAGTAGTTCAGATGCATCGACCATTTTAGACTTTTCTACCGTGGTGTTTCCCTGAGGTTTTAACATCCATTACTTCTAATGAATTTCCTACAGATCTGCTGCGGTGATAATTGCAGTCATTTTGCTGCAGACTTTGTGAATTAATCATCAGAAATTTTGACTTCAAAAAGGCAAAAAAAAAGAAAGCTCTGTTTTCTGGGACTGAAGTGTGTGTGAGTGTGCTGTTCCCAGCGGTGCATCTCTCTTTGCTCTCCCTCCGTCTCTGTCTCTCTGTCTCTTGTCTCGCGTAATGGCTTACACGCCGTACAACACCGAGGTCAGAATATGGGCACAAACGTAAAGTGCAAAAAAAAAAAAAAAAACAGCCTATAGATTTCCAATAAAGAGGAGCATGCAAGCTGCAAGAGACAAGGGTCTAAATCTCCAGGTGTACCAAAGTTCATTTACTGTCCACTCTGTTTCTAATCAGATTTAATCACGCTAATTATCTGTCCGCATTAAGTAGCCAGTGATTGAGAGCTGGGGTTGCAGGCACTGGAAGCAGAAGTCAACAGGCTTCTGTTTTGTTAATGAGGTGGAACATACCGGCTCAATGAGGCAGATGCTATAAGAATATTATCTTGTTTATCCTGCAGACTAAAAGCTAACTTTTCACAATACCCAATTGTGTCTTCCCTAATCATTAGTACTCTCTATTATCTATGTGCTGGGGGTTTACCACTAGGGAGCCACGGCTTCTGGGAGTTTGAGATATGAATAGCAGAGCAACCTATATCTGTTGTACTGATTTACCTCAAAGACTAAGAGGGAATGAAAGGATGAATCATTCGTTGTTATTGGGCTACAAAGACAACACCAGTGCAAATGCCTTTTGTGCAGAATGAATACACATTTCAGAGAAGCAACACTAGATAAAGTTAAAAATGTGAAATCCCACCAATTTTTCAGCTCATTGTTGTGCGGTCACTAATTGTGTAGAGCTTTCCAGTCCAGCTCATATCTACAGAGCTAATATCCCCCCGTCTCTGCCATGAAATCCAAACACTGCATGTGTCATACTTCCAGTCTGAGTGACAACAGCACCTTCTTTAAGGCTGCCTTTACAGCCGAACAATACCGAGACAATACCTACGTCCTCTGTGTCTTGCAGTATGCAAATGTGGGTGTTGAACCCTTGTGCGTGAGCTCTGCTCAGCCAATTTTGCCTCGTACAGAAACCACATAAGCTTTGTCACACCAGACACAGTTACTATAGCAACAGAGCTGGTTCAGCCCGGAAACAAAGTTGTTATTCTCAATAAATAAATAATTAAATATGCAAATTAAATGAATTAAATAAATACACTCAGGCTGTAAAACGACTGGGCCAGCCGTTTTGCTTGTTTACACAAATCACACGTTGGGTTTTGCCTTTTCAGCTGCCCTTGATTTCTGTTACTATGCAAAGAGAATCTACTTGAAATGTGCTTGAGTAGGGTAATGATTTACAGTGGATGTTTAATGAGACACAATCAAGAGATGTGTTGTTGTAAAATCAAACTTGGAAAACAAAAAATAAAAGGAATGTGGATCTTGTAAAGGATCTTGTGAATTTGCTTGTTTCCTTAATTAAAATAGATTGCTTCCAGATGTCAGAGCCTTCTTGAACACACCAACAAGGAGGTTTCATAACAATCCCTGTTTGCATCTGCAGTGGCACACAGAAATAATGTGAACTGATGATGAAATTACATAACTGAAGTAGGGCTGTGCAGTTTATCTTTGTTTGATCATCATTGCATTGTCAGCTGCTCAATAAACGCATCACGAAACACTGCGATTTTGCACTCAAGGACTGTTTAAGGTAGTTGGAAGAGAGTATCAGTACAAAACTGCACTTTAAAATGCAACTATTGGCCATCTGTGTTCAGTCTAATTTGTTCAATGAAAAAATGTTAAATTCAACAAGCAATTTGTGTTATTTTCGCACTATATTGACAACAACAGAAAGACAAAACGTTCACTCCAGTATATCCTTATTGCAACAGTCATATCGCATATATATTGCATATTTTCCTTAGATTGTGCTGCCCTATTCTAAAGCAAGGTGAGATGATTTTTCTTACAGTAGAGAATTGAGTTGATTCCAGTGGCTTGTTTGTAAGGCAGGAATTAGTCGAAAAACTTTCAGAAATCTGTTGGCAGTACTGTCACGTATTTGCTCATCTATGTCGCCCCGTCTGTCACCCAGGCGTTTTAATTTGCGGTCCTAATTTTGTGTTTGTGCTCTGCCTGTTGCCCCACGTAGGCTGCCCTGAAGAAATACCAGATGGAACACAAGAGCAAAGGGGAGAGTCTGGAGAAGTGCCAGGCTGAACTGAAGAAGCTGCGCAGGAAGAGCCAGGGCAGCAAGAACCCCTCCAAGTATGGGGAGAAGGAAATGCAGGTGAGCCTCTTGCTGTGTCAGAATGAAGATGCATCATAAAACCATTAAAATGTAAATCAGATTTCTTCCACTGTTGTGAAGGGCTACTGTAAGACAAGAAAAAAGGACAAAATACCCAAGAAAATTTGAAGCCAGTTTGCGCTGCTGTACTTTTAGCAGAGTTTGCATTTATGTGGGTGACTGTTGGATCAAAGATTTTTAAGTCTTGGTGCAAACTAATGACTTTATTTTTCATAAAGTAAAGAGAACTCACAAAACAGCAAGGATGGGGGTGGAGGCAGTGGCGACGATGTGCCCTGAGTGGGAAGGCAGATAGTGGAGGTTTGATTATGAATTGTGTGCCCTCCCCAATCTTTCACACATCTAAACACATACAGCAGGCACATAAAAACAGCAAGAAAAAGATAATGGTATAAGTGACACTAATTGACGTGCTGGAGGAGTACGCAATTCCTTCAGCCGATGTGTTTCTGCTCATGGCTTTGATCAGGGTTTTAACAGAATGAGTGAAAGCACAGCTTGAATATACACCACAAGACAGCTGACTCAATCATCCTCTAAGGATGATGTACCTCAAACACAGACATTTCATAATAAAAGCTTAAAGCAGAATGCTATTATTCACAAAGGTTTCTACATTTTGCCATTTTTTAAATAATTCTTTTAAATAAAGTAGTTTATATTATATCCTCTTAAAAATCTTAAAATGTATATTCAAGCAGTATCACACAAGGGGGAGTATTGTTGTACTGAATATCATCATGGCTCGGTTGTAGGCATGAGGCCACAAGCGACAACAGATTATGATTTGTTGGTTTATTTAATAATTTATTTGGCTCCACCAACACAAAAAGTTCCGCGGCTGATGTGACCAAACTGTTGCCTAGCACGCATAAGTCACTTTACCATTAGCAAGCTACTTTGTGTAAGCTAGGTCGATAGTAAAGCCTGATTTATCGTAGGTTGCTACACACTTTTGATAAGTGTCATTTTTAAATGTATGCCCCCAGATTTTTTTACACCCCAAATCTATTTCTGTTGTGTATGGTGAAGTATAATGTGGACACTCAGCTGTTTAAATCAAACAAATATCCCTCTGTTTACCCTTTTAACTTACTATCTGTATCTACACTGATTGATCGGCTTCCCGTCTGCCTGTGAGCGGCAGATTCCCCTCACTCACTAAGGTGGGCCTGGAAATAACATCAGTGACTCAAAAAATAAAAATACTGTTGATTTATTCCCATGTAGCTGACATGAAAACCTTTTATTCAGTAATGACTGCTGTCAGTCGGCCTGGTGAAGGCAGTTTGGCCGTCCGCTGTCCTCCCAGCTCCCTTGTTTCCAGGCCTTGAAGGGGACACTGAAACAGTCATGTCATGTGAAATATATTACGCTGGTAGAATTTGCTGCACATATGGATTGATTTGTTTGGGAGTATCATTCTGTTTTAAATGGGCTTTATGCGAAATTGAGAGCGTTAGAGTTGTCTGGACACATGGAGGTGGCTGAGTCGGAGGCTAGCAGCTAGCAGTGCTATAACAGCGCTTTAACAATGGCAACAGTGCTCACAGAGCTAAAGGTGTTACCCAGTGGAGAATGATTGGGTGGGTGCTACACTTTTGTGACAGTATCCGCCATATGAGCACAGTCCAAAACTGTGGCAATAAGCTAGCCAGTGATATACCCACATGCACTAACGTGCACTTTCAACCAGGTAGCGTGACTTCATTCTCTGCTCAAGACACAATGACTCCACTATATCTTCACATAGCAAATAGTTGTTTGCTGCTATATTAATGTTCTGAATGCTGCATACAGATCCTCTAAAGAGAGTGTGAAAGTGTCTTATTTTGGTAAAGGTGATATTTAACCGCTACATGTGGATAACACGCTGAAAACATTATTATTATAGAGTATTTTTTTGTAACAGTGTCAGTCTCCATGACTAAGACAGCAGGCATTATCAACTTGTCAAGATAGTTATATGTCAAACGAGCAGTTGCGTGAACAAAGCAATGTTTGCTTTGGGCTTCATCATTCGTGTGATTATTTCTAAATCAAAGCGTCCTGAAACTGAGCAGCTCAGGTGAAATGAATTTTAATGAGTTGAAACTAACCCTCGGTGTTGGACATGACTTAATTAGTTATCTGTCACACACAGTTTTCCGTCTCTTAACTGCCTACTTTGAAGGGGAAGTAGTGACAGGGTTCTTTTCTCACATAGACATACACGTGCCTACAAAGATGCGCTATTAAACCCTGACTGTAGGCCTTCACTGTGGTGGTGTTTACAAGTCATTTATTGGTTTAGTTCTGCAGCCAACTGAGAGAAATGACGCTGCAGAAAACTGCAACACCATGACAGCTGTTCCTTCAAAAGGATTTCACAAGAAGTTTGAAGTTTGATTGCCTGGAGGGGTGGGAACAAAAATCTCTAACAGGTCAAGGCTTGCCAGGTAATAACTGAGCTGCCGTTGATCTTGCTGTGTGAAGTGTGGTCGTCCATGACAGAATGAGATCAATAGCTGGACTAGAAACTTGATTCTACCAGCACTTACGGATACAATGTTTTGTAGAGTTTATTGAGTGTGAAAACTTTGCTCTATGCTACCCACTTTGTAGAAACAACCCCTTCTCTATCCAGGGCTTTGAGTGTATACAGTCTCACACACACACAAACATATGCCCTTTCCTGTCTAGAATGGTATAGCAGTGCTGGATTGATCTGACTGCTGTGTCACATTGAGTTTGTTCCACTGTGTCAAGACTGCCATGAGGAGATGTTGACTGTAGTGCCATCTCAAGGCGTTGTAGTTGTGTGCAGCAGCCCAGTTTTGCTCTCAGCAGGGCTTGGGATGGGAGGGGTTTTTGAGCGCACTAAGCCAGTAAATCTCAGTGAAGAATAGCATGTTGTTACATGTTCCTGACTGCCTTGTGTGTTTGATAATTAGGCCTCTGTAAGGTGAGGTGAAGCACAATTGGGCGAAAAGAAACAAGAATGCGGAATCTTTTATTGCAAGAGAATTAGATTAAATAGAAAAACACAAGCCTGAATCCGTATCAGCAGCCCATAGAGGCTGTAATGTTCATTAAAACCCAGGACACAAATGCAGTATGTTGGACTTATTGACAGTTTTGCATTTGTCTGAGGCCTATGAGGAGTGGTGCTAATTTAGAGTTTGTCTTTAAAGGCCTCAGGGGCATTAGAAATAAAACAGTTCATTCTCTGAGGAGTAGCCTACAAATCTGCTCAGCTAATACAAAATATCTTCTGTGCATCGTGGCATTTCTTGGCAATCCTCTCAATAGACTTTAGTATTTGTTCTAATTGGAAGTTTAGCTGGATTGTAACAGCAGAAGAAAGGTCAGGGGTTCACTAAAAACTTTCGGATACACCCTCCGAGTACAGTAATGCCATATTTCATTGGCAGTAGTTTTAACTGTGTGATACAGTAACTTACTACTTACTTACTAGTCTCACGTAATCAGACCTATCTTCGAAGCTCTGTGGCAGAGCTAGAGAAAGGTCTAGAATCACTGATCATCTATCTGCTATAGTGGGGAAAAAACACTGGCTTGTTTTTGTTTCTTTAAACCAATCACAGTCATCTTCATCATCATCGGGCGGTGATAAGCCCAGGATGCAGCAACGGTGCTCTTGCAAAATAGTGTCAGGGGTCAACTTGTTTTGGTGGAACATTTGCACACGGGGACATTAACAGCTGTATGTCACTGTGATTCAACTTTCACTGGTAAAGAAGACAAACATAATTTAATAGGTGCCCTAAAAGTGAAGCATGACTATGCTTAAGCTCTGGTGGAACTCACTGGACCCGTTCAAACCCCAGATGATTTGCTGTTTGTATGTGGCTCTAGCAGAGCATTATTATGAGATTATCAAAGAAGCTTGTGTAAAGGGGACCGGATTGGAACATCAGTGAAGTCACTGTCACTGGTGCATGCCTCTACTGAAGTTAAAAGACGTGGCAAATCAATTCCAACTGGTCATGTCACACAACAGATCAGCTTCTGTCCTGGGTTTTCCTTTCCAGCTGTTTCCATGTCAGCCTATGGCCTTTGGGTTCCATCTAAGGGCCTGCCTGATAATCCTAGCATTGTGTTTTGGGAAGGTGTGACCGATCCATCCTCATCTTCTTCTTCTCTGCCAGAGAGCATTGTTGCTGATGGTATCTGGCCAGTGGAGGCTCAAGATCCACCTCAGGCACCCGTCAATGAATGTTTGTACTTTCGTCATTGTGGTTGGTCGTCCTCCATGACTCTGATCCATGGGGTAATAAAGGCTTCAGATCCAAATGTTGTTCAGTTGCGTGAATAAAGCCCTTGCTATGCTGATTCTGGCTCAGTATGTTGCTGTGGACTAAAGTTGATGTGGCAACTAGCATAGCATAGCATAGCATGGCAAACATTACATCTTGGTGCATATTGGACACAGAGAGCAGACACAAACTTTCCGTGAGTCTGTATGACTGATCAATTGGGCCCATCTGCGCAGAGGAGGGAGCTCATCAGGCTCTGGACTCATAACGTACAGTCAGTTAGCTGAGGAGAAGAAAATCAATCTCCCTTTTTCACTCATTTTCAGTCTGCTCATTTTCGCTGATAATATCACGGCTTGTGGGCGTATGAGAGAAAAGTCAACTCGTTTGTGGCAGAGTGCCTCAGGCAGGACGGCACACAGAGAGGAAGAGAGCCCTTAAGACCCTGTGTTTAACAATGACACCCACCTAGAGAGGCTAAGATAGTGTCCACTACAAACAAGTCATCTAAGAGCATTCAGTTTAATTTGTGCGGGCAGAGATGGGTTCCCTTTAGGCAATACGAGGAAGTCGAGAAAGTACAAGTAAAAGTTGCTAAGGCAAGATCAACATTTTCTCATCCTCCTCCTCGTCCTCCTCCACCACATCTGTGTTATTCTAGCAGATAAGAGGCACTAAGTTTTCTTTTTTATCTCCTCGCTTTTCATTAAAAAGTAAAGTATGTCTAAGCGCAGTCTGGCAGCGGCCACAGATGGCGGCCGCATTTCATTGATCGCTCTCTCCCTCCTTCTCTCCATCGCACACTCTTCGCTGTTGTCTCTCCCACTTCTCTGTCTGTCTCTTTGTCTGTCGTTCCTCCACTTCCTGCTCTCTCCTGCCTTCAGACACTTTCACTGTGCCATTTCATCAATGGGTAAAGCCCCTGCCAAAATGCTAATCAGCTCATTATGTAGTTCAATGGAGTGGTCCAAGGTGCGGATAGAAAGGGGTTTCATCTAGATAAACTCCTTTGCACCGTATCGGCTGTTAATAAGAGCCCAGACAGAGATAGAGAGGCAGAGTTCAGGATTCAGAATGAATGTCTCGAAATGTTTGATAAGCTCGGAGTTTCTTCAGCTTGGTGTCATAAAATTGAAAAGTGATTCCAACCTGGAATTGTGGTTTCGTACAGATGCAGAAAAAAGGTGTTGTTGGCGTGCAAGTGCAGTAGATAAGCACTGATAAACAAACACACAGCAGATTGAAGCAGGTACTGTAGGTGTAGGTACTTTCTGTTGTGCCCTGGAGCCTTTAATACAATCCTTTTGAATCCAAAGAGTGCTGATGATGAAGGAACAGAAGAGCAGACCTAAGCAGCTCTTAACTTTGCAGGAAAAATGCTTTTGAATCCCCACAGGAAGGAAATGAGTATAAACAGTTTTGTTGTTGTGAATCGTACTGTATGCTGCACTTCTAAAAGGGTGTGAATCCTGCCCTTCCCAGTTCTTGTAATCACTGGAAGCTGTATCCATGCAATAGAGTGTATAATGTCACAACTTGTCAGGATTTTGTCCTGAATATGTCAGTGTAAGGGGAACAAAAAGGAGGGCGGCAATGCTGATCAGTTAGAACCTGAATGTAAGAACTGCAGTGACGTATTGCAGGTTTCATTTATGTTCATAACCTCTGCAAAACAAGTCTTTCCAGCTATGATGTAACCCGAGGTCGCTCAGATATAATAGTTGCTGGTGTCTGCCTTGGCTTCTCCCACTGCTCTCATTGTCTTGGGTTACTTTGGTGACCTTTTGAATGGCTGGAGAATTGGGCCATGTGGATTTGACAAGAGGAGTGAGCCCTTTACCTTGTTGAGGTGACGCTCATCCCTTTAACTGAGGGCTGTGCCTGTAAAGAAATACAGCAACTAACTGAACCAGTTTCAAAGCACTTAATTTGAGCTTAAGGTGTACAGAAAGAACAGAATAAGGTCAGGCTGCTCTCGGGAGAAAAATGCGTTCATCATCCTTTCATCCCTGCCTTGCTTGATTTGACAACTTGTGCTCTGTGGATTTGTGTAATGGCGTAAGTGGATTTTTTTCCACTGCTAATGCAAAAGGCCATTCCTCAAAAATGTTTGTGCTCATTGTGTGTCATTTAGTCACCCAAAATAATCCTGCGCTCTTGGAAATCCAAAGAACTAACCTTGTGGCTGTTGGCAGTGGGGAAGTAGTGTGCTCTGGTGATTGCTAAATGAGATACATCTGCGCTGTGCGATGGCACCACAGGATCTTACATTTGGCTGCAGGGAGGAACTCCAACTTAACGAACTTCATTAGCCTTTTTTATCTTCCGTCTTTGTGGAATATGATGTAAAACTTTCTAAAATGCACTCTAGTGCTTTGAGAATACCGAACTTGAGGAATTATGACAATTCTTCTCCCCTACGGCTAAGAGTGAAATGACAAAAATAGCATCCACAGAGTTGATGCAGTGTTTGTCTACACCATTTCCTAACATGGAAGGGCGTTGGAGTCATGTGTCAACAAACAAGTTGGATGTTCAGGACAAAATGTATTTGGTGATGATTACCCATGACATGCTAGCTTTATCTGTGTACAGAAAGAAACACATTTGTACATCAGTGACTCCCCCAGGAATTCTTCATAGGGGTAGCCAGATGGGGCCACTGAAAATCATGGGGTGGCAAACCAAAACCAAAAGCTATAAATAAGTGCAAGAAGTTTGATTATGCTGTTTAGGTATACAGGCTCGTTGATACCTATATAAATATGGAGAGATTAGAAAATAAGGGATTGCTGATGTACTTTGGTTTCTTATTTTACAGTTACTAGTACTAATTATCTGATGTGCGTACTGCATAGACTAATACCGCTACAGTTAACATGTTTTAATGTGTTTTGTATCTATACATGTTAGACGCTTCATTGTTCTTCAAAGAAGCTGGTTGTCCTTTTCTTTAAAAAGACATGATCAGCTTAAATATAAACGAGTGCATTGATTGTAAAGAGCAAAACATTTACTGGGAAGAAGCCATATCAAGTTTAGGGGAGACTTGTGAGTACCCCTAGAACCCATTTTCATTCAGATATCTTGAGAGCTCAAGGGACCCCTTGGAAATGGCCATGCCCAGTGGTGTAATGGAGGGTATATGCAGGTAGAGACGGTATACCTGTGTCTTTTTTTCTGGCCGCTTACAGTATACCCACCTATTAGCTAAAAAACATTGGAATATATAGGAGAGTATACCCACTTTGTCCTTGGTAGCCAACCCACCTATCTAGTTGTAAATTAGCCCTCTTTCTGGCAAGCTATACCGACATGATTGGTACCAATGGATGCCTTACGTCATCTAGTTTCACAAGATACCACTATCTAGCTTCAAAAAGTGAGTGTGCCACAGCCTCTTTAAAGCAGTAATGCAGCCTTCAGTTGTTTTCGCTGGAGGCAGGGGTTATGGCCCCTCTTGACCCCCCCTTGGGGGCACCACTGCTGTGTATGTGTTTTTGATTTCCGTTATATATGAGAAACATACCCCATGGCAAACTTCAACCCAGTCAATACCCCAAAGAAAGGTTCAGTCTAGGTCAAATCATTGCAAGTAAATATAACCCTCTCTTCTAGGTCAGTATTAATCAGCAGATGTTACAGTATGAAAGCCATGAAACTGGACACAGTCGACCTACTTCGAAAACTACAGTATTGAAAACTTGAAGCTACCAACATGCAAACTCTGCCGTTTGTAAATGTCTGATGTGTGTCCACATGGTCACAAAACACCTAAATACAATCTACCTTTCAAAATAAGACTCCTTGCACTGTAGCTCCTCAGCACTGTTTCTGACCATTTGGTGTGTGGTCAGTGAACTCTATGACATGTTCCATTTCTATAGAGCTCATGCTGAGACAAAGTGACACACCAGGTCTCCCCCCTTTTCTGTCTCTGTTACTCACTTTTATGCATACATTAGCACACCTGTTGGCTGACACGTAAAAATGGATTAGAGGGTCTTTGTGAGCAATCCCTCCTCCACACTGCAGGATCTTCAGTCATAATTGCCTTGCCTCTGTAGCATTCGGCAGGGAAATTCTGGCCTGAGAAAGTTACTGACTAAGGCTCTCTACTTGCACAACTATTAGCGCCATGGTGCACTTAACCCCTAATTGCTCCACTGGAACTGTGCAGTGATTGGCAGTACAAGCCTGAGCTGCACTGAGCTGCTGTGTGAATGCATGTAATTGTGTTGAAGTGAAACATGGTGTTATTAAAACAAAAAGTGCTTAGATGTCAGCTAGCTGCTTGGACCATTTCCCCGTCAGTCCTTCTGACCATGGGCTTTACCTTCTGAATATGAAAATGGCTCCTGGCATTAAGCTGTGAAGAACCTGCAGTACATTAGTAACCAGAATTTGTAAAACCTTTAACGGCAATAATAAGGCATATGAAAGAAAAGAAAATATTCAGTGCCCACATTGTTGCTAACACCAGCATGTTGTTACTTTTGTGCACAATTGTGTAGATATTATATCCCATGTTCATGTGTCATTGTGTGTTTTCCCACCAGTTTGTGGAGACCATCAGCAGTAAGCAGACTGAGCTGGACACTTTTATTGCAGAGGGTTACAAGACCGCCTTGTCTGAAGAGCGTCGCAGGTACTGCTTCCTGGTGGACCGCCAATGTGCCGTGGCCAAGAACAGCAGCGCCTATCACGGCAAGGTAAGTGTCACTTGACCACCAAGAAGACTTTTTACAATCAAACAGTGTCAAGGAGAAACATTAAAACCTTAAAATAAGAATAGATAAGGACATGTTTCAGTCATGGTCTACATTCTCAAGAGGACAGCTGTTTCAGTCAATACTGCCACTTTAAAGCCCTATTACAGCCACTGTTACTTCCAGTTTTTTGGTTAACATTCTTTCTCAAACAGAAGATGGGTGTGTGGTTAAAAGTTGGACATACTCCATTGAGCATGACAATGAGATTGACATCTAGCATACGTTTCAAAGCGATAGGATCAATATTAGCATGGGTCATGGTAGCGGTAGCTCCAGCATAACAGGGTGTAGGATTTTTCTCCACTATTTTCACCTGCAGGAAACACAGCCGAAATTCACTTCTGAATGACGAACATTCATCTTAACTATTTAACCAACTGTTAATATGGGCATCTAGTGTGTTTGCTAGTGTCCATAATGGACCCAATGGCATTTGTTTTGCAGGTACCAACTGGCAGTTGCAAAAACTTTACTTTACCCTTATGTAGCTGACTGTACTCTGTAAATGTTAAATTGTTAACTTGCTCATGTTGAGCAAACATTAGGAGTCGAAAATCTAATGAAACAATCCCAAAATGAAAGCTTACCTTCTTGTTTTGCCAGTGACTCATACAACCCTATGCCGTATGTGCCCTGCAGATGTAGCTAGTAAAAAGGTACATCCTGTGGTACATCCACTCTGCAAACAGCTTTATCTGTTACGTCTTTAACGTAGGCAAAATACAAGACAAGCTGACTTGCTAGCTCACAACAAGATTTTAGTGTTGCTACTGAGATGCAAAGATGCATGATGTATGACCTGCAGCTTCTACTGTAGTCATACATCATCCTCCCATTCTAGCAACAACCTTTTGTTTTTCACTTGTAGCACGGTAGGTAGAAAAAGATTTCTGCACACTTAGTACTTCACGTTATTGTTGAGCTTACGGTCTATAAGACCTTCATCAAAGCATACATGAGGCAACAATGGACAGGCTGGTAAAAGTAACCAATCTCAGTCTAATCACTGGCTGTATGCAATACACCTGTGTGCAACCCTGGTGGTAGGAGCTCCACCTTCTGGGAGTTGTAGTTTTTTTAATGCTGGATGGCAAACTGAAAGGCATACAAATTGAAGCCATATTTGTCTTGTCGGACAGAACCAAAATATAAAACAAGGGTGGAACACAGTGAAAACTTTAACTTTTAGCACAAAAATTAAGCGATTTGTCAAAAATATGTTCAAGATTCAAGTTTATTGTCATAGCGGTTTACACCTTACAATGAAATTCTTTATTACCAGTCTCCCTTTACACTAAACAAAAATAAAGGTAGAACTAAAGTTAGATTTAAGAAAAATAGCTAAATGAATAAGCAGAAACAAAGAAATAAGTTTAAAAGTAAAGTGCAGCATGCCTCATGGAAACAGTTAGTGAGGGTGGTGCAAACTGTGAGGCTGATCCTGACAATGTTGAAATATAAAAGTGGCAAAATATACTAAAGGGAAGCTAATACAAATCCTAAGAAAACAATCTCATTTAAAGTTCAGAGAAAAATAAAATCTATAGGCGTTATTTTATTTAGAGTTTTCCTCAAAAACTATTCTGCCTCATTAGGACTGCGCGGGTGTTGTTTTGACCACATTTGATTGACAGTGATGGCAACACAAGCAAACAACAACTCAGCTGTCATCGTATTTTGAAACGTTACTAAACTCTGATTGGTGCACAGAAACGCATTACATCACTTTTTCCCAGCTGAGCCCTGCCCACTTAAAATGAGCGAGAAAGGAAGGGAGGAAGAGGCAAATATCCAGTGTCTCATTTGATTTAACCATGTGTCACTGAAAGCAAGAAGCTGATCGAGAAAGTTGTTTTTCATCCTTCAATAAAGGCTGTGCACAGATATGAGTTTATTGTCACCTTGAACTAGTGTTTCCTTGAATAATTTGTACACTCATCAGCACTTTTCTGTGGCAGTTTCTCACTAACTAGTGGTTCAGAACTTTTGATCTTTCAACTAATCAGGAACAAAAGTGTCTGTCCCTCATGTTGAAAAAGGCAGAGCTTGTTAGATCAATTTATAAAACTTAGCTTATTCCCTTCCTGCTATTGTGTTGATTCTAGCCAACTTCTCCCCATCTGTCATCTGTGTTTTATTTGAAGACTCACCTGCTGTAGACCATTGTTCAGCAAAAAGAGCAAACGAGGAGATATATAATTCAAAGTCGCATTAGCTTTGACCACTCACAGGGGCCTCCTCATTTTAAAAATTCATTAAGACGGTAGACAATGCCCAGCTGACAGGCATATCTGAAGCCGTAATCCATCATTGCACCTTCGCACGTCTGGCCACCTTTTCGGATGGAGAGCTTCCTCGCTTGTTCAGTTCATGAAAGACTTCAGTGGGGAAAATAAGCGTTGAATGTAGATAAAGATGGACTGGAATCAAAGCTCAGTGCAACAAACGGGACAAGAGTGGCAAACAGTTTCTCACGCATTTTGTTTACAGCAGTCATTAGAGAGTTTTGTAATACCTGCTTGTTGTTTTCACATCGCTGCTGACATTTGAAGCTAAGAACCTTTGAATCCAAACAGATCCCCCCCTCTTTATCATAACATCAAAGGTAATGGAGCGATATTAACAAGGCTTTAGTTTTTTATGCTTGCTGTTTTGTCCATTATCCAAGAATTTGATATTCTTCGGTAATGAAGTATATCAGTCTCTGGGGATTACTGGTGGGTGTCAGCTGCCAGCCTGAAGATGTGGCTGGAGGAGGACTGTGTGTGTGTGTGTGTGTGTGTGTGTGTGTGTGTGTGTGTGTGTGTGGACTGTGCTGCCGCCTCTTTTTGCAACATGGAGTCTAGTCATTAATCAGGATGGGGCTGTGCGTAGGAAGAGGTTACCTTCAGCAGACTGAAGAACCCTCTCCCAGAGGGTTCCTAGTGTGTGTTTGTCTTTGTGCAAGATGGAGTGTGTGTGTGTGCGTGTGTATGAAAGAGGGAGAAAGAGATGGTAGGAGCTGCAACTTACTACGTACAAAGAGACAAAACTGTCCATGTCTTCCACACGTGTGTGCATGTATGTATACCATATAGTCACACACAGTGTGGATTTCAGTCTGTTCATTAAACTCTACTTCTGTGGTTGTAGAAAGAACAGCCGTGTCCACAGGCTGTGAGATGCTGCAGTGGGCAGCATGGTTGTATGTCTGTCCATCCCACAGCCTCACCCACGCAGCACATTACCATAGCTGTGCAAAGGGCAGTGGTCAAGGCTACAGAGTGAGAACAAACCTCTGAGAACTAAATGCTTTTTTTGTAAGAGAGAGAAAATAGGGAGAAAATTGAAGGTTTAGCAAAGAAAATGCTTAACTGAGCTTTTTCTCTGGTCACGTTGCCGCTACATCAATATCATATTTTTATGTTTGTGTGTGTGTGTTTCTCCAATCTTTCCTCCCTGCTTCCAGGGTAAAGACCTTCTGACCCAGAAGATCCCAGTGTGGCAACAGGCTTGCTCAGACCCTAACAAGCTGCCAGAGAGGGCCATGCTCCTGGCCCAGCAGATGGGCTCTGCCGCCCTCGGGGGCACGAGCCCCCTGCATACCTCCAAATCCAACTTGGTCATCTCAGACCCTATCCCCGGGGCCCAGCCTCTTCCTGTGCCCCCAGAGTTGGCTGTTTTCATGGGCAGTGGCATGGGACACCCAGCAGTGAGTTTGTTTTCTGTTTCTATTTATTTTTTATTTGTCCTCTCTTCATAAGGCAAAGCGGTTTTGGTAAAAGAAACTTTAAAGGTCCCATATTATGCTGATTTTCAGGTTCATATTAAGATCTGGGGTTTCCATTAGAACATGTTTACATGCTTTAATGTTGAAAAAATACTTGACTTTCCGTTTACAGTCTGTGCTCACTCTCTGTCTGAAACGCTCCGTTTTAGCGCCTGTCTCTTTAAGCCCCCCCTCCTGATTGGTCATTGTTTCCAGGTCTTCCACATCTGTGCTTTCAGCTTCTCTGCACTGCCATTTCAGCAAGGGAATGACTGTAAAGTCACTGTAACAGCACGTTCTACCTTTACATAGTAGAGTTGTGACATCACAACTTCACAGAAGTCCTGATGGCTTGCTTAAAGGCACAGTTCCTGAATACGGACTGCCTGCATTTCTCTGTGATACTTTCACATGGGGCTGGGCGATATGGAGAAAATCACATATCTCAATATTTTTTACCACATCGTAATGTCGATATTGCGACAGCATTTACACAATGGGATTTTTGATAGATCATCATTAGTAATGCAGCTCTATCACTTTACTTAAATATGGCCTTTAAAACCAAGAAGAGACAGCACCTATGATATTACGATATCAATAATGTATATGGTATCTAGTGTCATATCAAGATATCAGTATATTGCCCAGTCATACAACACATGGCAGTGGACTAATTAATATACACAAAGAGAATTTGGTTGAAAATGTCTCATTAGATTCTTCATCACCCCAAAGCAGAAAGCACATGCTAAAGGGAGAGGCTCCCAAGTGCTGGAAATTGTGCAGGAGCCAGGATGCAAATCACTGGCATCTGTCTTGGGAGTGTCCTGTAATAAGACAGTTTCGGTCTGAGGTGCACAAAATACTAGAGGGCATTTTTAACATAAAAATACCTTTCCTATTTAAAAGTTTTATTTAGGAAAAGCTGACTTGCAACCTGAGTACTTAATTGATGTTTTGATATCCGCTGGTAAGAAAGCCATCACAAGACATTGACTTCCTTCTTCTCTAAAAAAAAAAAAAAAAAAGACATGGAAATATGGAAATCTGACTTTCTACAATATGGGACCTTTATGCCAGAGCAATTTGAATTCTGATGATGTACTATAGACTTAGATATGATGTCACAGACTTATTAAAATGTATGGCCATTTATACAGACATTGTCCTTGTGTTTCTTAAGAGAACTGAATTACTTAACTGGAATCATTTCAAATCCATTTCCTTACCACTGTGAAGGAGCTAACAGTTCTCGCCTAATATAAGCCTGCCCACCTTTGGCCCTCCATAAAGATGCAAATCAGACGAGCATCTCTTTAGTCTCTTTCTGAGGATGGCACTGGGGTTAATGAGCTGTTTAGAGTCTGGATTTCCAGCTGGGCAGCTGCTAAAAGACTTTGATGAACTCTCACTAGACTTCGGGTCAACTCCAAACTTATAAAGAAGCTTTTTTATTCAAGTTTAATTGTGAAGTGTTATTACTTCAGCTTAATCTAAAGTTATTGCTACTGTAGTTCTGCACAGGTTAAGCCACCACCAAGATTTTTGGATCTATATATACTATATCTGCTTTTTTATTCCAGAGGCTGATGGGCCCCGATGGTATGTCCATGGTAAATGGGACAACAGGAGTCCACGGGGAGGAATACTGGACGGATGGAGGGACTTTATCCGTGTCCCAAGTCAGGCCTTCATCCCCTCAGACCCAGGCGCAGGGCCAGTCCCAGGCTCAGCCCCAGAGACAGGTCAGCGATGTCTACTCCAACACCCTCCCTGTCCGCAGGCCTGCCCCCGCCAAGAATAAGAACCCCGTGGGTAAGATATCCAAACACTGCTGGAGTTAATGAACAGAAGATCACAAACAGAATATGTGATCGAGTCCTAAATCCTGTTCCTTTCATTTTACTCAGAGGTACACAGAGGAGCATTTTAACATCACATAAATAGTTGAGATCACAATAAGATTATCACCTGCTGGTTTTAATTATTATTTGATTTTATTTTATTCCTACTTCTTTTATTGCTTTGAAGTGATGTGTCTATTATTTTTTATTGGTCAGCTGTTGGTCTTCATTATTGTTTTATTTTATTTTGTTCTCACTTTTTAAATGGTTTGGTCGGTTGTTGATCTTAATTCTCTTAATTTTTATTCCTACTTCATTATGGTTTTATTTCACATTTATTACTTAGGTGTCTGTTTTAACTTTTTACTTGTCTAATGTTTATGGCTGCAACTTCAGTGGTAGCTTCCACCTGAAATAAAATGTCCTATATATTCATTTATTCTTATTTATTTTGGTGTCAAGCCTTTGGCCCGTCTCACATGGGATTATAAAACGACCATCTTTCAGTCATGTGGCAAGGAAAAGAAGCACAAACAAGCAAACAAACTAACCAAAAAACAATAGTCTAAATGAACTGCTCACGCTTCTTTTCTCCTCTCTCAGGCCGTGTCCAGATAACTGGCCAATCAATATGTCTCAAATGGGAACAGCCATCTCAGTCTCTGCTTTCCTTGTTTACAAAATCGATATCCATCCTTATCCCACCAAACAGTACACAATAAAAAGGACAGTAGGAAACAAAATGGAACTCGTTTTCAATATCTTTGAAACAACACATTGGACACATCTGCTTTTCTTCTTCTAGATTAACATCACATTCAATTTCTGTCATCTGGACATCTGGTCTGTAATGAAAAAAATATTCTAGTCCAGTTTGCTTGCTTATCTACCGGCACTTCGGGTTGAGAACTGCTGCTTTACAGTGTCACAGAGAACCTGGAAGGAGAAGTAGCAACATAAACTTAGAAATCGGATTTATAGGAAATGTTGGCATGAGACAGTCTACCTTTTATCTCCGCTATAATCTAATTTGTATGTGGTGATTATCAGTTAATCTGACAGTGACTCATCTGCCTGGTTGCTGACTGCGCCTCAGTAGACTCAAATGTTACCTTTAGTTACTCCAGAGCATCTGGTACTCTGAACTCTTAATGAACTTCCTGTCACTGAGCATTGTCTCCCTCTGCAAACACCGCAGGAGAGACACGAACCCTGCCCAGGTCCAGTTCCATGGCGGCAGGCCTCGAAAAGAACGGGCGCTCCCGTGTCCAGGCCATCTTCTCCCATGCTGCGGGCGACAACAGCACCCTGCTCAGCTTCTCCGAGGGAGATGTAATCACCCTGCTAGTGCCCGAGGCCCGCGACGGCTGGCACTATGGGGAGAATGAGAAGAACAAGATGTAAGTGATGTATTCATTTATTCCATTTTGCCTGGATCCATACTGTGAGACTGGGGGAACATTCGCCTCACATTTAGGTACAGTAAACGTCGAATGTAAGTTTAACAAGGTGTTCACTTTTCTTAGGCGTGGCTGGTTCCCGTTCTCCTACACACGTGTGCTGCCTGAAAGCGACAGCGACAAGCTCAAAGTGAAGTATGTAGCGTTTCTCTATCGCAAGCTGTGTCGACTTTATGAACCGATGTCTAAGACCTTTTGTTTTCTTGCCTTCCCAGCCTGCATCATGGGAAAAGTAGCAGCACAGGGAACTTGTTGGAGAGTGATGCATCACTGCCCACACCTGACTATGGCCTGACTGCCCGACTGCTGGCACAGAGCCTAGCACAGACCCGCCCACGTCCCTACAGCATGGCAGGCTTTGGCACACAGGTAGGTACAATTGAACATGTGTAGTATCCATGAACAACATACAAACACTTGTTACTCCTGCTCACTTAATTTGTAGCCCCCGTCTGGTTTGGCCTCGTGTTGCATAATTGGATATGAGTAATCCTGCAGTAACTGGAGAGGGGACTTTTCCTCAGTGTCTGCTCCCACCTAGTGTTTGCATGCGAGTACAACATATGCTTCAATCCCAGGTATACAAGCACACAAAGTAAAATAGTTTCTTTTATCTTTTCAGCCTGCTATTGAGGATTATGACGGCCGCTTTGCCACAAGGTAAGTGCCTTTTCTGCCCTGTCCTCTAAGTAACGACATGTCCTCTTAAGATATGACTGCTGCTGCTGCCATCTGAATTGCTTAACTTGGGTTGTTTTGGAAGTAGTGACCCATTAGAAGAAGCAGATCACCTTAAAAAGATTTCACCTGAGTTACTACATGCTCAAGAGACAGCAAGGCAACTACTTAACATACGCAGTGTCCCAATTTAATGCTACATACACATTCTAAGCTGGTGTGGAGTACATTGTGTAGTGGACAAAATTTAGTTTGCACAAAAAATGTCAGTATAGACAGTTAAAAGTGCTTTATATTTGAGTGTGCTGTTCATGTACACTATTGTCTCATAATGCAATAAACACAAGAACCAGTGGAGCCAATCACAGTTGCAAAACATTAAGACAAATAGTAGAAAGTGGTGAGGCAGCTCAAGGAAGTTTTGCAAAACAAATCATTTAGCATAAGGATATGCATTTCAAACTCATGTTTCGATTGATGTTTGTCAGCAAATAGTGCATTATTTTGTGTTAGTACAAAATTGTGAGGTACAAAGATTATTTTCCGACAGTTACTATATAGTACATACAGTAATACACTGTATGGGATCAGGTGGTGGACTACAGCTCCACGCAGTGTCTGAAACTAACATTTACATAGTTTAGATTACACATAGTCTATTTTATCTTTTTTAATTATTTGTTAAAGCGATACTTCACTTGCAGAATGACCGTTTGTAATCAGTTAGTCATGCCATGTTACCTTGGATTTGTGAAGAACACATAGTTTTTCCCACATGCCTGCAAGAAAAATGGCAAATGTACTGATTTATGGGGACCACGTTTAACAACAGTAAAATTATAGCAGGACAGGCCGCCCCATAGCTCACCTGGTAGAGCAGGCGCACCATGCTCAAAGGCTGTGTCCTTGCTGCAGTGGCTATAGGTTCGAGTACAACTCACATCCCGTTGCTGTATGTCATTACCACTCTCTATCCCCTCCTTTCACACTACAGCTGTCCTATGAAATAGAGGCAAAAAATATCTTTAAAAAAATTGTTTATGATCAGTACCTCCCAAACAAAGCAGCATGCATGTGTTTTGGAAGTACTGAGCACACAACTGGGTTATGTGAGAGCCTGGAAACGGATGTTTTGATGTAGTTTCGGTGTTGTTAAATGTGGTTTGCTGTTTTCCGTGGAGGTATATGAGATAAAATGAGGTTTTCTTTATGAATTCAAGGTGACATGGCACAACGTATAGGTACACAAATAGTCATTTTTTGGGAGAAGAGCTCCTTTAAGTCTGTAAAATGTCAGGAAATGGTAACAAATGTCAATCACAATTTTCGAGAGCCATTTTCAGATTATTTGTTTTGTCTAAACCAATAGTGCAAAACCCAAATATATCTAATTTACAGTAATATAAAACAGGAGAAAGCAATAGATAGACAATTGTTTTGTTTTTTGGCTTTGACAGTTGATTACACGGATAAAAAGTAATCAAAAAGTGGGCCGTTATTTTTATTTTTTTGGAGGCTTCAACAGCAAGTGAGGAACATCGTTAGCCTTAAGCAGTAGATTAGATTTTGCTGCAGTGAGATGTCAATGCAGTGTTTCCTCTGAACATTTTTTACTGTCTTCTTTGTCCTTTCCTCTGTGCTCCTGCTTATTTTACTTTATTATTTTTTTAAAGTAGCTCTTTAAAGTAATGAATGCAGTCCGGCGGGGTCAGTGTCTCAGTTTATTGTCAGCATACTCTTGGCCCAGCATATTTTCACTGTAATCCTATCAAGTCCTTGCTGACTCACCAGGGTGGTGTGAGGTTAGGGTTAGGAATGATGCCTGTTTCTGTCCAATCAGGGGGTACATCCGTGTGTACATGTATATAAATGTGTGTTTGTGTGTGTGTTTGTATGTGTGTGTGAGAAGGAAAGAGAGAGGGAGTGAAATGACCTGAGTGCTCTCGTTTTTGGTGGAGTACGTGTTGTGACAGTAGACATCATGCTGACCTCATCTCAGTCATCACTGCTTGTCAGCCTGGGGCTTTGGGCACCAGTGTCAAGCTGTTGTACATACTGTCTGCTCTGAATGTGTTTTTTTTTTCTGTATCAGTATTTTGAGACAACACTGTGCTGCAGGGTGTATTCACCCCCAACAGACTAATCTAACACTACATCCCTCCAGCTAAGGAGATGACTTGATTTTCTCATCAACAGTCTGGGGTTTGTCTACTTCCCAGTGACAGACGGAGGCAAATATTCAATAAAACTGCTTGATATGGGCGATAATGTCAAACCAGCAAACATATCTGGATTTAAAAAAGTGTTGATGAGGGAATTGGAAGTCCAATCTTCCTGATCACGGCAGGTGTGTTTGGAGTTGTAGCTGTAGGTGGGGCAACGTAGATTTTTATGACCCCACCTACGCCTCTCCAAATCTCTACCCTGCCTCCTTGTGCCTGTCTTGTCTTTCTCCATTTCTCTCTGAGTGTGTCCGACCTGGCAAGCTTCCTTCTCTCTTTGTTCCACAGTGACAGTCCTGATGGCAAATTGATTTCGACTGTGTGAGAACAGACATACAGACAGACACAGACAGCTCCGGATAGCACAGGGGCCTCTTCCTCCCCATCTTTTCCCTCCTCTTAGCCTCCCCTCCTCCTGTCCACTTATCTCCACCTCTCCTCCTCTGCCTCCACACACACCCCTTCTCCAAGTGGAAGAGGCCAGTTTCATCCCTCCTTTCTGTCCTCTCTTCCTCCTCGGGTCCCTCCTTTCCTCCTTCCGTCCGTCCTGGGTGCTGCTGCTGGCGGTGTCGGTGTGGACAGTAGCGGTTGGTGGGTGGAGGATTGCATTGAGCGAGAGAGCCAGAGCGGGGCCTACCTGCTCGGCATGCAGCGATATGGACTCTGAATACTCTATCTCTGATCACAGTCCACCATCACGGACTGATCTCTCAAGAGACTGCCTTTGCTACTGCTTGTCTTTTCATGCATGTACATGGTTGTGTCATTTTGTCAAACTGAAGGACATGTTCATGTACTGTACAAGTGCCAAAAGACTTCAATGTCGTTGTACTAAAAGCCACCGGCTGAATGGCCTTTTTAAGCACACGTGGGCCCAGTATTATCGAGTTCCCACCCAACACACACATGCTCAAAAAAAAAAAAAATAAGCTTTGTTCCAAGTAAGGCTGTGCAGCAGATTACTATGTTTCTGTTCTGAGAGATCCCGTAGGTCGCGCTGTGCTTCCTTGTGTCAGTGCTATAGACTTGATTTCCCGTCCAGAGGGTGTGTGTCATATTTGCCTTACTTTGCTTCTTTTGTTTTTTTCTATTAAACACTTTATGTGCAATGGAGCAAATTTTCAAATTGAGCTTCAAGAATATACAGTATATATATATCTATACATATATATAAATTGTTTCCGTCAGTCCACCAGATTGCACTGTATCATGATCATTGCAAAAAAAAAACATTTACAATTAAACTTTCCACCATCAGCCCCACAGAAACTTGTCTTTTTGCCGCCAGAATTGTCGCTAAAAATGGGGGAAAAAAAGTCCGATTACCTTCAGTTTGATCTTATTTCTGAAGCTACAGTGAGTTTGAAAGGGGTTCTTTGATCATCTGTCGAGTATCCTCAATTAACGGCTGTGAATTAGTTTTTAGGTTAAATGACAAACCACGGCTTTTGCAGCTCTCAGTGTTATTTATGATTGTATTCCCTGAGTGGCTATGTAGTTTTTTTGGTCTTTTCTTTTAAAAAAAAAAACAAAAACAGAACATTATTGTCCTTGTAAAAACAAACAAACCAACAAAAAAAAAAAAAAAAAAGATTTCAAGAAACATTGAGAAACTACTGATTAGTTGAAGTGTTTATCTTATGCATGCTGTGGAGGGAAACCAGAAAATGTGATACTACAAATTGACCTTGAATGTATGGTGACTTTTTACAAAGGTATTCTAAATAAAACATATCTCTATATATTAATAAACAGTCTGGTCTGACGAGAAATCTTTTCTGTCACTGTCGATGGCGTTTTCAGTTTTATTGAACTTTTTTTGTGTCTTAAATGTTTCAATAATTCCTTTTAAAAAAAAAAAAACAAAAAAAAACCTGCCACCCTGATGTGAATCATTTCAGGCCACAGCTGTGTCCCAAGCATGCAGTTTCATCCTAACCCCTCCCCCCAGGAACACCCATAGCATCCATGGTGCTCTCTGTGTCACTTAAAAAAAGACTGTGTGTATGTGGTGTGTACAGTGTGTGTATTGTGAGTGTCTGAACTTTGCCTGCTTATCTTTTGGTTGTATGTCATGTATTTTTGGCTTGTGTTTGAGTTGTATTTGGGTGACAGAATTTGGGTGATAGACAGCCTGTTGATTGCATTGCACTTGCAGTAATGTCCAAGGCGAGCTGCACACTCCCCCCCTGAGTTTAGCAGCATACAGTAATACAGCATGTTGAGCATGAAGTGTGTACTTTTGTTTCCCATCCCTCATTTCAGTTACGGTTAATATTATTATCAACCCTATGGTATGTTCATCTTGCACCAGACTAACCAGCAGTGTCGTTACAAAATGTCAGCCATGCATGATCTGAGAGATGAGCCATTCAAACCCAAAGGTTCTCTTTACCTTCCAGTTTGGGTCCAGAATTGTCCCGGTTCTGAGGGAACAGGACCTCCGTAAGTCACCAGCCTCCATTGCCCTTTCAGCCAATCACTTCTTTTTTTTTACCCTCTCTCTATTACTGCCTGGTTCTCTCTCTCTCTCTCTCTCTCTCTCTCTCTCTCTCTCTCTCTCTCTCTCTCTGCTGTCATTGGCTGTCTGGCTGCAGTAGGAAGCTGGGAATCACTGGTCTTTTCTGTCCTCTGGCCCTCGTGGACGTGGCAGCGTTTGGTTCTGTCAGTCCAGAAGGCTTTGGGTTGTAAAAGAATTCCTTTTTTTTTTTTTTTTTAATGTGTGTATGACAGTATGAAACAGAGAAGACTAACCCTGCACGCATGCCTAATGCAAGCTGTTTTTGTTCCTTTTGTTTCCACCATGTTTTCCTTGAGTTTTCTCATTACATGCTTGCTACAACTCACAGTAGATACTCACTGTAAGAAAAAAAAAAGCTACGGGAAGGCAGATTTCTTTGGGTGTGGTTACATAGCTGACCATGTAGCTCTCTCTAAGCTGTGTCATGTGTTCAACCTAACTGTCACTGTTCCTTGTCTCACCCTTCCTCTCCCCACAGTGACCGTACCCTGGAGGTCTACCTCCGGCCCACCTTCACTGATGACCGATCTGCACCCATCTTCTACTAGCGGCCTGCTGCCCCCCCTCCTTTTGTCCACTAATGGGCCCTTTTTTTTAAAGGGGATAGAGAGTGTTTGAGTTGTGTGATGTTATCACAGGAGGGGCCCTGTAGTGTGTTACACTGCTAATTTAGGTTCTTTGCCATGGAAATTCACCCGCAGAATTTCCAGTTAATCCTTGTGATTTTTTTTTTTTTTTTTTAATCTCAAACGCTTCCACAAACATTGAATGTCTCAGCCTGAACATTCAATCGCATGTGTGAGAGTAGATTTTATTAGTTATTTAGAATCGCTCCAGTTGTGGATAAGGTATGGCTAATAGGTTTTTACTAGTAATGCAGTCACATTATTATTTATCTGCACTTCTACTATGGGATGTTTTTTTGTTCCTCAACACTATACACTGTAAATTTCATTTGAGGATTATTTGCATTAACGAGCAGTGGAGGCACACTCTGCATTAGTTCTTTAAACGAGGCTTGAGGGGGATTAAGATTGTCTAACAGTTTTCAGTGCATCACTGTAATACGCACATTGAAGTGTTGATCAGATATCAGATAGCTAGAACCGGACAGCTGGTGAGTAAAGTACGATTCTGCTTAAAGTATGATTCTGCTTTTTGTTAAGTGATACAGTATAGCACTATATATTTGCTAGTTGTGATACAGTATGCCCATATTTTCAATGTGGGAACTGTGCCTTCTACTTTTTTTTTAACCATATGCTTCATGCGGCATTGACCCAATCATTCTGTAAACTGGTTTGAGGGCATAAGCATCACAGTTCAACTTGTGTTTTTTATACTCCTGAAAACATAAGTGGGATTATTTCCCTTTTTGTTTTGTTTGCTTGTAGTGTCAGAATTTTTTTTTGTTGTGTTGATTTTTTTTTTTTTTTTTTTTTGCTTTGCGAGCTCCAGTACAGTGCATTCATCCAAACTGGTACAAGAATATTTTCGCTATTCTTTCCTTCTCTTTAAATTTCAGTAATATCTAAGCTGCCAGATAGCCAAGAGATGAAATACAGTGCATACATAAAGGGTCTTTTTAAAATATATATATATCTTTAGCTTTGAGGGAGTGGTAGCTTATCAGATAATGTACAGTATTATCATAGCTTTTGATCATTCTCAGTATTATACACTCATCGGGGAGAAGAGCTTAGAGCGGAGGCGTTTATCTATGGTATGATGTGTGGGAATTGAAGTGGAAGTGCATGTGATGAAAAGGCAATAACGTGTACGGTTGTGTGAATGAGCTAAAATGCCTCTTCTACTGCGAGAAATCATCGTGATAAGTCAATTTTTCCATGGATGAGTCCTTTACACTGAGTAACATGATCAGGCTTTTATTACACAGCTCATTTGGGCAGCGAGTTTCAAATGCTTTTTTTTTTTTTTTTTTACTTTTATATAGCTTTCATTGTGTCCATTTCTCACTCTTGTCCCTGTTTGTATTATATCTGTACTGTACAGAAAGTGCATATAAATTATCTTGTCCAATAAATCTAAATGGGCAGAAACGTCATTCTTTTATGTGTCGTGTTGTGTCGTGTTTTCATGTGTTCTTGTTTTGTAGGAAACCGCACTCCTTCCACATCGACGCAGATAAATACATCACAGACACAAGAAGGGAAAAAAAAGTATTTGGATTTATTTGTTTGGGATAGTACAATAGCAATGAGTGAGGAGGGGGGGCGGGGAATGGAAACAGCAATGATGTTACTACCGGTGCACAGAACAACCCACCTCACCTTCTCCAAAGGTGTCTGCCACTTTAGCCAATAGGCTTTGTAATATCTCTTTGGCAAATTTTAGAGACCGTCATCCTGGATTGCATCTTTTCAAATCGTACAAAAATACTAGCGACATTTTCTCTTCTTGCAGAACTTAAAAGGCAAGGTGAGAGGAAACTGAATTGGCACTTTGAGCTACAGAAGGATAGAGACAGGGAGGCAGCTGTCTGTACAGCAGTAGTAATTCAAGTCAAGCTACCTGCTACATGTTGATAAAACATTCATACAATATGTGAGATATGTCATATTTTTGAATGTCTCTTTTTTTTGTACACCTCAGACCCTGGGCATTCAGCACAAATGCAATAAAATGCATCATGTATGAGACTATGGACGATACGTAGACGTAGAAAAGATGCATAAAGATGACATTCGACATTTATGACTGGCATACCGACATGACACCGCTCAGCTGTGTTGCAACACGGCTCCATCCCTTTGGTGTCACTCTATTGCTGATGAAATGTCATATAAACAAAGCTAAAATGCCACAAAATAAAGTGAACCTGTAGCTGGCACTGTGGACACAAACAAGGAACCTCACATGTTTAGCTATTTCATTCCAGGATGGGGAGATGAAGAGCAACAGAGCCATCACTTCTACAAATAAAGACCCAGTTTGGCTATACAAAGTGCTTCAGACTGATATGGTAGAAATATACTGTAGGTCATCATAAACCAGAGTGAGTGGTGGTGACAATTAGGGAGCGACAACACCTTGATTTCTTTTATTATGTTTCTATTAACACACTGAATCCACCACCAATATGATTTGGATATGACTTGGATTAAGGGACAAAATAAGTTTCAGCACCTCCGTCTTCAAATACCATCACCACCACCCACGGCTGTTAAATAAAAAGTCTGATTTTGTGTTTGGAAACCCACCACAAATATAGTCGAGCATTGTTCTCTGGCTCCAGCAATGAGAGCTGCAACAGTCTTTAAAAATGCCAGATCAATGGTTAGCAGATGGACCAAGGCAGCCAATGAGGGGAGCAGCTATGCTTTTTTAATTCATCTTTTTTTTATCCATTTTCTTTTAAATTCACAAAATAAATTACCTGTAAAGTAGGGCTGCACAATGAATCGTCTTTTTTCCCTATCATAATGTCAACTTCTGTGATGAACACATCCTGAAAGACTGCAATATTGCACTGTGAATAGAGTAACAAAGTATTAAATGACTTTCTGTCTTTGGGTCATATTCTGATACACACCATGCTGTTAACTCTCTGGCCAATCAGACAATCCTCGCCTTTAGGCATTGTCTGATTGGTCAGAATTTGTACGCATGCACTTGAGGTTTATCGAACCAGTGCTGCCGTACCATTCTACATGGTTGGAGAAAAGTGCGACAAGCTGAGTGCAGACAAAGTGCGAATGCCGAAGAGTAACTAAAAAAATAGCACATGAGCCAACTGGCAATATTTGGATACAGGAGAGACGGCTTGGCACAGGCACAGGTACTGTGCAAATCTAAGTCAAGAGCTGAACACAGTTTTATATCTGTTTATTCATCGCAATATTCAACAATATCACATATTTACCTCATTGTGCAGCCCTACTGTGAGGTCAACAACAAAAACCAATGCTGCACTGAGCAAAGATCGTCATATACTGTATTTTAAACTAATATTCTGATGATTTCTATCTCTGCAAACAATATGATCTGATTTTATATTCACTCTCCAGGTTGCCTTACCAGCAGCTATTTCTTTCTTCACAAAATAATATTAAAAAAAGGTGCAAATCATTGAGGGTCTTTCACTACAATATGAGGCACTGTCTCATAAAGGGTCACCAGGGTCAGATGACCCAAACGTTGATAAAAATAAAACTCTGTAAAACATCTAGATATAATAATAATGCTGCTTTTCTGTGTTGAGAAGGACCAGGACTCATCCTCCTCCAGTCAGGTCCATGGTGGGGAACTCAGTCTTGTGGGTTATCTTCACTGTTCCCTGTTGGGAAATAATTAATTGAAAATAAGTGTTGCAGCTTTAATTTTAAGACAGATAATCATACATCTTACAGTGATACTCCACTCACAACCAAGTTTTTGTGTCAAATACTTACCTGCTTGTGGGTTTGAAAGATTAGAAGTTTGAATAATGAAAATGCAATAGATTCCAATCGAGACATGTTTTAACAGCAGGAAGAAAAATCATAACTTTCGTAACTCCTCCAGTCAGCATCTTTTGATTCACTGTGCTGCAATCTTTCAAATATTTATCAAAATATATCTTAATAAACTTATTATGCTTTGTGTCATATGTGTTATGTTGTTTGTTTACAAAACCCAAGTTTTCATGTCGCACAAAAGCTACAAAAAAAGGAGGACAAACCTATAGAGGGCTGCTCTTTCACACTAAAAGGTTTGTTGGTGGAGTTCCACAAAGACAATATGAGCACCAAATTTTAGACTTTTTTCTTTTTTTTTTTTTTAATTTACTCCAACTGAAATTCCATTTCAGTCAGGAAACCTTGAGTCAAAGAAAACTTTATTTGCATTTGCAGTATTATATTTGGTGGTATGGCTCTGTTCTGGGGCCTCTCTGCCTTTCCTTGGGCCTACGCAGAAAGCCTGAGGTAGAGAAGCAAACCCTCCTGCCCTTCCATGCGCCTACATGGAAAGCCTAAGCCAGGGAGAGCAGCAGCAGAGACCCCCAGAAACAGAACAGAGCAGCAGCAATGACAAACAGAAATGACACTGATAAGTCAGATATAGCATGGAAAGGAGGAGCTGGGATGGAGGTGGGTTGCAAAGCAGCTTGCAGAGGAAGCAGCAACAGTAGGCAGGCCAGAGCAGTTTAAATAGGGCACCCTGAATGAGATTGGCCAGTTGGTTACATGCAAATGAATAATGTGATCTATCACTTGACTCCATCAGTTGATTGGGCTGATTGGGATCAGCTGATGTTGCTGGAATGTGAGCTAAGCTGCCCAAGCTAACGCTATGCTCAATTTTGTCATCTAAGTATTGTCAGTGTTATTATCAATCTTTTTTTTTTTTTAGAAAAAATAAAAGGAAGAAACAAAAGTTTGGGGGTAAATATCCATCTGGGGAATGAAGAAGAAGTACAAACACTTGTAGCTTATAATGGACACACGTGTTGTTAGCAGTGGCATTGCAGGGTCAGAGCCACACCAGCGTCTAACCAGACAGAAGTGATATCAGCAGGTACCTTTACATGCTGTTACAGCTAATTAGCTTTCTACCCTCTAATCCGATGTTAGCAGTGCACTTTTCCCCACCAAGCTAAGGTGAAGGGCAAGACTTGTATCCATGTTTGCTAATTTAGATAAGAAGACTTTAGCAGGAAAGCTAATGTGGGTTATTGTCCAAAGACTGCAGCTCTTGTGTTGTTTAGCAGGCTGCTGTGTGGTTGTTGTCAGTGTAACTATCTATGATAGGACAGTAGCATTACTGCTTTATACAAATATAATTTAAGATAAGGTAATCTGAAAAAAAAAATCTCTTTTGGTTTCAAACATGCAATTTAATTTCAGTTGGACTTAAAAAAATATTGGGTGGTTGCGAATTTGAGATTTCAGAGGTTGTCTTATTTTCAGAGCAAATAAATGAACATTACACAACATTCAAATACAGACCTGTTGCTGAGCCCACGTGGGGGTCGGAAACATGTGTGATAGAGAATCGTGAGACCATAAAACGGTTAAGTGCTACAGCTGCAGGTTTAGGAGCCTCGGGACTGTTGGAGGTGGATGTTGGTGAGGACTGGGGCTCAGGGATGGTGTCAGGTGAGGACGGGCGGGGTTCGAACGAGAGGTCATCTTCCCATTCATAACACCCACCTGAGTGCACACAGACAAGTCACAATTCGTTATTGTGTACAATCCAGGATAAATCAACTGGGATTATTCTGAGTAGCATTTTGTGTTCACCCTCTTCTGAGTTGTTCCCCTCTGTTTCTTTAGAAACACAGAATGTTTCGCAGGATTGAGCTTCAAGTTCAGGGTCAGGCTGCAGCTGGTGGTCAGGGTTTTTTTCTTCTGGAGATTCTTGCCCACTGGACTCTGTTCCTGTGGAGAAGGTGAAGTCAGCCAGCTCTCCTGTGGGGCTCTCCTGGAAACCATGAACAAAAAGATCACACTCATACTCCTAAGTAATGAAGTAATTTACTCAACAATACACATTGAACAACTTTGACCTTTTAATGTGTTGTACCTGGTCAAAAAGGAACACTGTAACATCATCAAAAAAGGACACCGCTTTTTTCTTCCTCTCCAACTCGTTGCAGAAGGACTGGGTGAGCAGCGTGGGCATCTTCAGAAGGCTGCGAAGGTGTCTGGCCCTGCTGCAGTCGCTTACCACCACTGGCACTGAGCTGAAATCCTCCTCACTCTCCTCGCTGTCTTCATCTTGGATGTTGTAGGTCCTCAACTCTTCATCAGACTCGCTGTCATCTGAGTCATCCTCATCCTCCGCCTCCTCCAGCGGAGCTCTTACGTTCTCTCCGCACAGCTCCAACAATGATGAGGAAGAGGACAGGTCGACAGGACCGTTGGACTCTTCACACAGGCTGTCCTGTGAGTCACATTCCTCTGCGTCTATGTCCTCAAAGTCCTCCTCATTTATTCTCGCGCCCTCCCTTCTTTCCTCCGTCTCCTCCTTGATGTGATTGAATTCAGGCAGCTCCTCCTCTGTGGATCCTTCACTGTTTTCATTTTCTTTGGGAGCCTCATCTCTGTAGTCAGTTATGGTTGA